GTCCCAACTGCCTCAGAAGAAAACACAGATCATGGTTTTCATGAGTTGCAGGATAAGTTCTCAAGAGTGTACCTGGCCTTGTCCCCATGAAGGTCTCCAAGGACCTCAATACTGCTGATCGCACCTTCACAAAATGCTTCTGGGCCATTTATTTAGTCATCTCCTCTGGATTACTCAGGGTTTATCATGAAACTCAGTGAATATTTAATCCCCAACTTTTGAACTGTTGTATAATATCTCTCTTCACATATAGTGAAAAATTTCAAATTATTAGTAATTTTTCTATGAATGTAAACATTTGCAAGTTAATTAAAATATTATACTTTAATAGCTACAAACCTTAAAAATTAAAAAAAAACACATGTCATAATATGAATTGCACATTTCCAGTTGCTATTCTAGAATTCACTTTCCAGAATAAGGAGGATTGGAATTTCCAATGATTCATTCTTGTTTCCTTTCATTTTAAACATAAAGAAAAATAATATTATTCCTAACAAGTCTATAGAGAAATTCAAATGTAGAACACATATTGGAAAGAAGCAGCAAACTTGAGAACAGGACAATCAAAAGTGTCAAGTCTGAAGAATAGAGAATAAGATTGCAGAAGAGCGGACAGACACAAGGACCTGTTGGACATAATGAAGCAGACCAACATGGCATTATGGGAGAGTCCAAAAAAGAGAGAAAGGACAAGGGAACATTTGAGGAAAAGCTAGCACTCAACTTTCTGAGATAATGAAGAATGAGAATATAAACATTCCAGAAATTCAACAACTACAAGAAGAATGTGCACAAGCAGATTCACACAATCCATAAAATCACCCAAAAGATCAAAGAAAAGGAGTAGAAAATGAAAACAGTAAGAGTGAGGATGACTTTTCACATCCAAGCAATCTGAAGATATCATAGGGAGCCTTCTCCTCATAAATGTGATTAACATGAAATAACAGCATTGGTGAAAATGAGAAATATTGGAGGCCTCGGGCACTGTGGTGGGAATTTAAAATGGTACACCTGGGATAGAACACAGCAAAAACAGATGCAAATGAAACAACATGTGATCAAAGAACTTTACTTCCAATTATGTCCTCAAAAGTATTGAGAGCAGAGTCTTTCAGAGGCATTTGGGCACCATTGAAATCAGAAACACTACTTGCAATAACAAAAGTATGGAAGCTTCCAAAGATGTATTGACAAATGAAGGCATAAGCAAAATGTAGCAATTACATAGAAGGCAAATGTACTCTAACTTTAAAATCATAGGAAATTCTCAGAACTACAACATGGATGAATCTCCACAACATCAAAAACTCCAGGGTTCCCTAACCCCCAAAACACAGACTTGCAACACCCCATGGTCTGTTAGCCAAGCTGGACAAAAGGAGGTGCACAGCATGGGAGAAACTGAAGCTTCATCTCTTTCTGCAGTGCTCACTATCTCTGCCATGACCACCTGAGCTCTGGCTCCTATCAGATCAACATGGCGTTAGATTCTCTTTGGAGCATCAACCCTAAAGTGGAGTGCACATGCAAGTGATCTGGGTTGCCTGTTCCCCATGGGAATGTAAAGCCTTGGGATAAGAGGAGGAGTTGAGGGGCTGATGCTAGCACTGGAGAGCAGCTGCAAATACAGATGAATGTTAGCAGTGATATTTGACTACAGAGACTATGATAAATCAATTGCTTTGAGATTCAAATGAAAACCCTACCAGTAATCGACAATTAAACTTCATGTGGTGTCAGACTTTATAGAAGCTGTGGGTTCATGTCCTTCAGTTGTAAACCTGCACCTGGTTGCAGCTTTTAAGTCAAATCCAACACTTACTGTATCTATGCATGGCTCACCTTTTATTTACCACATTCAACTGTGTTTCTTTCATATGCTATGTACTTGTCCCAGCCACAGATTTGATAAGCTCACAACCACCCCTAGCTACAGTGAATACAAAACAAATTCATGAGACAGCTTCTTTAAAAGAGGGAAAGATTCAATGACCAGACAGCATAAGATTCTAAGAAAGCTAACAGACAGAAAGCTGCATTTAAAAGTAAATACCAAGAATACTGTTTACATTGCGGCTTCATTGAAAGAAGTGATTTACATTCTCTAAGCCCACTTTGTATAATACGTACTGACCAGCTATCCAACTAAGCTATGAAAACTTCAAATCCTCTGCCACATGGAATCCAAACACACTAAATTCAAAAACAAGGCTTTAGAATTCTTCAGAAGAAAAAATATGAACCTGAAGAAGAGAAATTGCAGAAGGCTCCACTTCATCAAATGTGTCTGCAGTGAGAGCATCATTTGCAGTGGCTGACCACATTGGTAATGCTGAGAAAGAAGCCCTTTGGTATTGGTAAAGAGTTGATTCTGCCTGCTGCCAAAGACAATTGTCTGGAAGTTTAAGGTCAGGCTGCAGTTCAAAAGATGGGATGTGTTCCTCATTTGGCTAGCATCATTTATAGACAAATTGATAAGTAGCAGAGGACATCAAGGCACCATATTTAGAGAGGATTGATGAATCACTTGGGCTCAATTTACATTGACTACTCTGCTGATGGTAACAACACAGCAACAATGATTGTTTTTGTGCAATAAGTTTTTCAGTATGGTGTACATAAAGATATGTTAGGTACACTATTGTTGCCAATCAATACTTAAAGCAGCAAAAATACTCAAATCTAGCAGGAAAATTGAATTTGTCATTTCACTGGGATATGTATGAACAGAGTTGCTATCAAGACTGCATGGCTTTTTGGGTTCACTACTTGTGTAAAGGAAGTCACTTTTGCATGTGAGTCTATGCCTTGGTGATCTGCTGAGAAAGGCTGGGTAGACAAACAGTGTCACCTGAATTAAGCAATGTTTTTCAAGAGTGATAATATTAATAACCACACTAAAGTACACACTTTCACCTCATATCTGTGCTCACAGGTATCTGAGGACGTGGACACTGGGCACATATGCTTTTTCTTACACAAAGAAAGGATGTGATTTCTAAATGTTGATCAGTGGCCATTGGTTTTGAGCTATAAAAGCTGCTCTACAGATTTTTTGAGAAAAAAAATCACCATCATTTGCACATTTTGGTGACATCACTTAGGAGAAAACACTTGCTTCTTCATATGATATATTCAACCTGCTCAATAAACTCAATCTATCAGTTCAGGAGTGAGAATAACTGTGTTCAAGTCAGCTGATAAAGTGATTGTATTCAAATCCAAACTTGAATCAAGGGAGTGATGAGTAAACATTGGATTTTTCTACATGTTTCAAATGTTAGCAGAAATTTAAAAAAAAAAATTGACCCAGAGCCTTCTTTTTGCCATCTTATTCATGATCACCTATCTAGCTTTCAAAAGACTTCATTCCCAAGCACAGGAGAACCCCAATCTGGGTGGGGGAAAATGGATCCATTACCTATTCATGAATACACTGGATTATACAACTTTCTTCCTGCTAGAAGATCAACTGCTTGAAATCACAAATGATGGTGGCTTTAACATTAAGTTTGAGAAAAACTTAAAATTACCATGCATTCTGAATTAAAGCCAAAGTGGAATAGCCTGATATTACCACAAAACTTTTAAAAACATGCTTCCATTTCCAACATCCTGTGTTTGTAGAGGAGGGTTTTCTTCAATGACCACAAACAAATTGATATTATGAAGTAGACAGCACTTAAGCAAAACATTCCATGTGTCACTGTCTCCCATTACCTTTAGATGGGACTGTCCAGTTGCAGGAAAACAATTACATGTCTCCCACATATTTTGCATTATGGTACACTCTATAATTATTTCATCACAATGTAATAATAATATAAATGAAGTACATAATAAATGTAATATACCTGAATCATCCCAAAACCACCCCCAACCACCACAGTCCATAGAAAAATCATTTGCATCAAACCAGTCTCTGGTACCAAAAAGTTTGTGGACTGCTTATATGTGTTAAGTAAGCCAACACAATATTGTAAATAATAGTGTTTCATTTCTCTGAGCTATTTACAGAAGCCAAAACTGTAGTGTATGAAGGAGAATGATGAGTGCCAGAGTTGGAGAGGGAGTATGGAGGTACTGTTTCCTGATCTTGGTCTTGTAAAATAGAAAGTTGTGGTAGGTAAAAAAAAAATGTGAAGGAACCCAACAAGATTCAGCAGTGTGCTTGAAAGTTCTTTAAATAGGGCCAGAGATTTACCTCAGTGGTGCTGCCGCCTGTCTTGCAAGCACCAGGTCCCTAGTTTGATCCCTGGTACCAAAAAAAATTAAATTATTTGTATAGAGAAAGATGTTACATGAATTGTGCAATGCAAAAATGGGGTGCAGATAGTTAATTCCCTAGAAGGACCCAATTTAATGGCCTCCTCTCCCACAGAAATTTACAGCCACAGTGAACCACTTTTCCTCTCTCAAACTCCACTGAGTCCTACTGAGACCTAGGATCCCTCACCCTTCTGGACTGAGAAAAAACATGAGGCAGAGTCATCTTACACAACATTCCTGCAAGCAGTGTCCTAAATGCAAGGGACCACACAGCCTTCTCTACATGACTAAAGAACATGACAATCAATGAATGGAAGTGGGAGATTTTTTAAAAAGGGAGAGTTGGGGAAACAGAAAGTGATAGATATCCTAATATAAAAAGATAACTAGTTCAGTGGATTCAACCCTACATAGAATATTTCTTGACCACCACCTGCCCCACAAGTGGAAAGATTCAAGTTCACCCCCATGTACCAAAAAAAAAAAAAAGAATTTCTCACCATGTCTTTGTCCAACTTTATGCTGAATTTCAAGTCGCAGGTAAGGATAGTATTATCTACACATTCAAGAATTTTTCTGAACAGTTATGGGAATTTTTATAACCCAAATAAAGAGAAAAGTTGAGGGTGCTGCTGTGAAATTATTAAAATTGAAAAATGTTGCAAATCTTCAGATGTTGTCTCTTTCCATCTAGGCATATATAAGGCAAGTGTCATGGAAAGTGAAATTGTGACTTTTCACGTACTTTTGTCTTGCTGGGATTCTCAGAATTTCTGTGGCTGGAGAGGCTTCTCTTCGCAGTGGTCCTGGTCTCCTACATCCTCACCCTTGTGGGGAACAGCTCCATCATGCTCCTCTCCCTGGTGGACCCCAGACTCCAGACATCCATGTACTTCTTCCTTGACAACCTCTCTCTGCTGGACCTTGGTATCACCTGCACCATTGTGCTCCAGCTTCTGACCAACCTGTGGGGACCAGACAAGACAATTACTGCATGGGGCTGCATCACACAGCTCTATGTTTACACATGGGTGGGCACCACAGAATGTGCCCTTCTGGCCATGATGACCATTGATCCTTATGTGGCCATCTGCCAGCCACTCCAGTACATTCTCATCATGCGCACCTCAGTGTGCATGCAGATGGCAGCTGCATGCTGGTCCAGTGGCCTGGCCAATGCTCTGCTCCAAGCCACACTCACTGTCCAGCTCCCACTCTGTAGGCACCACACCCTGGACCACTTCTTCTGTGAGATACCTATGCTCATCAAGCTGGCCTGTGGGGACACCTCTGCTAATGACCTGGCCCTGGCTATAGGAGCCATCCTTTTTGCACTACTGTCTCCCATACTAGTACTCATCTCCTACACCCTCATTGCCAGGGCTGTACTTAAATTACCTTCAGCTGAAGGAAGGCACAAGGCCCTCAGCACCTGCAGTTCCCACTTGCTGGCGGTCACTATGTACGTTGCCCCTGCCATGTACATGTACCTCCAGTCCCCTGCTCACAGCACCCAGGCCAAGTTCTTGTCTTTCTTCTACTGTGTTATGACCCCAGTGCTAAACCCATTCATCTACACCCTGAGAAACAAGGATGTGAAGAGAGCATGGAAGAGGATCCTGCAATCCCAGGGTGGGGTGCAGTCTTTAAAAGCTAGATGCAAGATACAAAATTAAATAGAGATTTTGAAAGTGGAGAAGGGAAAAAGGTTTTGAGTGAGGAAACAGGAGGGGAAGAGGACAATAAAGAAGTAATATATGTTACATATATGTCCAAATTACTCATGATGAACCTAACCATTATGTACTGAAAAACATGTGCTATTAAAAAAAAAATCAAAAGATTTTCTATACACCAATAAAGAACTAAATAAAAAAGAAATCAGAAAAATAATTCCATTCAAAATAGCTTGAAAATAATAAAATATCCAAGGATCAATCCAATGAAGGATGGTAAAGCCTTCCACAATGAAAATTTCAGAACACTGAAGAAGGAAACTGAAGGAGACACTAGAAGATGCAAGGACTTCTCATGTTCATGGATTGGCAGAATTAATATTACTAAATTGGCTGTATCACCAAAAGCAATATGTAGATTCATTGCAATCCCCTTCAAAATTCCAATGACATTCTTCACAGAAGTAGAAAAAAAACCTAAAACACGTGAAAACAGGAGAGATAGAATAGCCTAAGCAATTCTAAGTAAAAAGATAAAGTCTGGAGTCAACTCAATATGCAAAGTCAAATCATACCACAAAGCTATAGTAACAGAAGCAGCATGGTATCAGAAAAAAAAAAAAGAGAGACAAACAAATAGATCAGAATAAAGGACCCAAAAGCAAATGCACATAGAGATTTAAAATGGCAGAGTAAACTCCAGCAGCAAAATACTGCCTGTTTATCTCTAGGGACTTGGAATCCAGACACCTGGTATAGGAATTGAATGGGATCTTTGGTTGTTGGTTCCTTTTTCTGGAAGAATTAAAAGTAGACCTTCAGAAATCAGGAAAGTCTTGACAAAGAAAGTAGGAATTTGGGAAAACTGAAAACCCTGAGCACAGTGCAGAGAAAGTAATGAAAGAGTCTGAAACGTTAATCCCAGGTCCCAAAGAGAGGTCCTGGCTCCACTAATCCAGGTGAAGCATGAGAGATTGTCACCTTCAGGGAGAAGTAATGGACTGGGCTGGTAGTGCTAAGTCCCAAGAAGCCCACAGTTATTGTAAAGTGCAAAAAGAGCATGAAGTTTTATCTGAAAGTAACTCATTCCACATGGCAGTCTAGAGTTGGAGAATAAATCAAGTGTAGAGCTCATCATATTTGAGTGACTAATGAGGGAAAGGGTTAGTTGATTAGCACTGAGCTACAAGGCCATCTTGGGAATGATTCTAACAGGCTGAGTGAAGGAGGCAGCACTGCAGAGGGCAGAATCCCGGGACAGGCTCCCGACATTCCCTCACTCATACCTGGAAGGAAGGGGAAACCCATCATGGGGGTGAACTGCACTTAGGGCCCAGGGAAACCATGAACTGCAACCAGAGAAAGAGAGGGCCAGCAATACAAAAATAGGCTATCTCTCCCAGCACCCTCCCAAATACCAGGAATACTGTGTCCCTGCAGCATCTTCCCCACCACCCACCCCTGAGGGACAAACAGGGAAGCCCCACACCTTAGGCACATAGAGGGTGAACACAGCAAACTGTGGGCAGCCAAGAACTCACTGGAAAGGGCTAGGAGATCTCATTTCTGGAGACATGGGGAAGGGGAGGGATTTACTGAAGCTGGACAGAGTGGGGACTTTCCTTTTGCTTCCCCAGACACCAGAAAGATCTTAGACAGCATGAAATCCTTCCAACAACCCACTCCCCCACATGGGAAATGAGGTTTTCTCCTGAGCCTGGGGACTGTGCAGAGCTCCATAGTTTGGAAACCAGAGCTCTTGGGACAGGGACCAAGGGTGGTAAAGGCCTGAGGGAGAAGGGACAGAAAGCATTGCCTGAGCTGAGGACTTGTGCTACTACACAGGGCAGAAGGCTCCTGAGAGAGAGAGTGTAGGTGATGACAGGAGTTGCCCTGCAGTGAAGGGTGAGTCAGCGGTGATCCCTGGTGGAGGTACCAGAGAACTGGGTGTTGGACAAACTGTACTACATCCTCTTGCTCACAAATTAATTCAGGAGGTTGGATTTTGAGACAGAGAGAAAGGTCTGTAGTTGGCCACACCTAACCTATGGTTTGCAGCCAGGAGGCAGGTTCACAGACACTGACAGCCTCACCACGCCCAGGCAGGTGGTTAAGCTGTATGCAGAAGAAGCTGCAATGGAGCTACAATGACAGCAGGCAGGGAGCTGTGTGGACACTCTGGCTCCAGGGCATAGCGGCTGTGTGGGGGCTTCTTGTTCGTTTCCCTTCTTGCCTCTTCTGGGATTTTTTCTTTTCTTTTTTTTCCTATTCTTGCTTATAAATATTATTTTTAATTTTAAGGTTTTCCCCCTTTTTCCTCTTTCTTCAACCTTTCTTTTCTCTTTTTAACATTCTTTCCTCTTTCATTGTCCTCATTTTCCCTATACCCTTCTCTTTTCTTTCAACTTTTTCACAACATATATGTAGTAAGTGCTATTTATGTACAATAGCAAATGAGAATTAACCAGTGCTTTAACTATAATTGGACCACTTGTGGCCACATGGGGAAGTCTCAGCAGAAATATGCTTAGAAAATTCAAACAACACTAACTGCAAACAACATCACAGCTTCCTCCAATCTCCAGGTATACTTTCCTTCCTCTGCATCTCTCCTCCAGCCTCCACAAATATTCTTTAAGCTTCTTCAGCAATAGCCCTTTTCTCCAGCTGTAAAAATAACTCCAACAGGGTCTGACCTTCTATTTTTACCCAATACATTTCTCTTATCCCCCTCTCTTCTTACTGACTTACTGCCTTCCTTTTTACATCCACATTTCTCTCCCTATCCCTTCACAGTCCAGTCCAACTGCTGATAGGATTATAGTACAGTCTGTGAGGGTTGATGATAGAAGAGAAATATTATCAAAACAAGTTTTAATGTTCATGATTGATGTACGATTGGATCCATGATGCTGTTGTAGCCAATGGGAATTCTCACACTATAACACAGTGACTGGGTCCAACATGATTAAACTGAATATGTTAAAGTGGTAGACAATACCTCTTCACAAATAAAACCAAGATCATGTCACTGGAACACAGAACTTAAAAGAGATCTTCTCCCAAAAGCAAACTCTTCCCATTGTATTTGACCTCAACCTTCAGCACAAAGAAGGGAACATGAAAAACAAAAACAGCAACAAAATGCCTTTGAAGATGTCCAACTCTTGCAGAGCAGATCCAAAGGCACTGATGGAGATGAAATAAAACACTAAGTAGCGGAATTATACAAAATTATCAAAGAGGAAGCAAAGAAAGTTGGTGAGCTCAAAGGTGATGTAAAAAATTCAGATAGTGAAATTATTAAAAGGAGAAATTCTTAAACAGCAATCAAATAAAAAGCAGAAGAGCTAACCAAAAGCACAGAAGATATGAGGGACAAGTTTACCAAAGAAATAGAGTCCACAAAATCAAAAGAAAAGAAAAAGAATTCTATTGAATATATGGACAGTATAAATGATCAATGTAAGAAGAGTGCCAGACCTTGAAAGCAGACAGGAAGCACAAGACCCTATACTGAGAGATAATGTAAACCAACAAAGAAGCAAGGGAAATTGATCAAAGAGCTACTGTATGATTCAAAAAGGCTAACAAAAGACTACCGGAGTTACAGATATTTTAGTGGTCAGCATGCATAGAATAAAAAAATGTTTAGAGACCATACCGGAAAATTTTTCAAATATGGGAAAACAACTCATATAGTTATGGAAGATATACAGAACCCTAATTATAACAAGAGGAAAATTCTTCATAAAACATCATAGTCAAAATCCCAGAGGGGTAATACAAAGTCAAAATCTTAAAAGCTGTCCAGAAAAGTAAAAAAAAAAATCATGCAGAAAGTTAAACTCATCAGGATTACAATAGATTTTTCAGTTCAAACTTTAAAGGCCAGAAGAATTTGGCCTGAAAGGTTTAATGCCCTGAGGGAAAAAGAAAAGAAAACAACTTTCAACCCAGACCAGCATATCCTGAAAAACTTTCTTTCAAAATTGATGCAAATAGGAAGAAAAGGGGCAAAGGGGAGGGGGAAGTGGGAGGGGTAGGGGAAAGGGAAGAAGGGAATGGAATTAATAGGAGAAAATGAAAAAATGGAAACAAAGTCTTTGCAAATAGGGAGGGATGGAGGGGTTGAAGGGAGGGCAGGGGAAGGGTTAAAAAATAAGAACCAAGGGAGTATGTAAAGATGCATATCTCCAATGATGAATGTCATTATATTGTACACCTAAAATGTAGCAATAAAAGGATATACAAAAAAATGGATGCAGAGTCCTGGTATGGTGATACATAACTGTAATCTCAGCTCTTGAGAGGCTGAAGCAGGATGACTGTTGAAAGTTCGAGATGCCACTCTGGATTAAATAGTGAGTTCAAGGTCAGCTTAACTTAGATTGAGAACCTTTCTCAAAACACAAAAAAAGGGCCAGGTATATGGCTCAGTGGTGCCATGCCTGCCTGGCAAGCACAAGATCCCTGATACTCTCCCCAAAATTGATGCAGAAATAAAGACATTCCATAACACAGAAGCCCTTAAAAATTACAACACCCCAAAACTTCTCAAAGATAAACAGTACAGTATAAATATAACCAATAATGCCTAAGAGTTTCATGTAATTAATACACCAGGCAGGATGAGCAGGAAAAAAATAAAGTAATCAAAAACAGTAAAATAATACAATGACACAAGTGAGTCAATATCTTTCAGTAATAACTCAAGTGGCCTCAGCCCCCCAGTCAAAAGTCACAGACTGGCAGACTGGGTTAAAAAACAAAACTCAATGATTTGCTCCATACAAGAGACACATTTAATCCAAAAGAATCATACACTATGAAACAAATGATGGAAACCATGAATCAGGACTATGAAAACAAGCAGTGGTAGCAATCTTATTCCCAGATGAAGTGGACTTCAAGCCAAAACTGATCAGAAGAGGCAAAGAAAGTCACTACATATTAATTCAAGAAAAAACTCAAAAGGAACAGATAATAATTGTAAATAT